GCCAAATAAAGATACAAATGTTCTAAACCGTAATCCAAAGAATCCCTGCTCTGCTTGTAAATAACACCTAAATTTTGCTTCTGACCATGCCCTAAACTTTACATATAACAAAAGTGTTATTGATCATGCCTAATCTATCCAGTGACTATACAATCCTGTTACGGGGGCAGAAACTAGATCTTCCCTCTCCTGTATTAGCATCCTAATCATGCTCTGCCTGGCGCAATCAGCTTCAGTCTGTGGCTGTACCATGTCTTAGTCTTAACAGGAAAAGCCTGTGGATTTGGTTACCAGTGTACTCTCCTGGCAGACGGACACTGTGGAGTTCAGCTCCCTCAATTCAAGGCTGCATGATTCCAACTGATTAAATGGTAGCCTACGACATAAGAAGCGCTTCACCTGTAATTATAGTGCAGTTGTAAAAGGTTTCAGTTCATAAAGCCCAGCTGAAACCACCCTGAGAGCAGTACACCAGACCTAGAGGTGAGGGTTTTTTTCTAAGCATCCTCCTCACGTATTTCCTACTGGCAAGCTCTACCGGTTCTGCTCTTCTCTGCAAGACACCTTTCTTGCCCTCCATGCTGTCCTGGGACCCGAGGCATCAGGTTTGGGTTCTGCACGCCACTTGAGGGACCAAACGCCTAATTTTTAGCCGTATCTCTTACCACCTCTTTGTTGCAGTTTCTCCTTCTGAAAGCAGAGGTGATAATTCTTATCCAACAAAAGTGCTGACCATTGCGTAGCTGGAGCCTAAAAGAGACTTTTGCTTTCCTCAGCAACAAGAAGTGCAGTAGTACAGAGTGCTCTTATTATGCAGTGAAAGAGCGGATTGCATCCCTCGCTCTTTCAGATGACCTAATGTTCTATGAAGCCCCTATGCCTAGCTGACCTCAAAGAAAATATTATACTTTTAAAGATGCAGAAACACTAAAGGGCTGTTCATCCTGTTAAAATTACAAAACAAAATAAGGAAGAGTGGCCATGCATGAAGTACACATCAAAAATATTTTTTCTGATTTTTCGAAATACCTGTCTGCTGTGATGTACTCTCTTCTTGCTGATCTACGCATTTCTTGGGGCTGAAAGAGAATACTACCATTACATTTGTGAAAATGATGAATAACCTTTATATCCTGCAGAACACATTGAAAATAAAGGCAAGCCAGAAAGATGCACTGAACTTGAAGAGAAGCCTTTAGTGAAAGCAAGCAACACGCACAGGATGGATCCTTTTCATAGTTCAATATTCTGGATAATTATTCCGGTCCTTATGAAAAAGGAAGGATGGGTATACCTTGGTGGCATGAAACAACCTCACCCAGAGTTCTGCCAACACATCTCAGCCCTCAATACAAAAACCCTTTTTCCTGTGCTCTTACGAATCTCCGTCCCCTGAGCCTATGCAAATAACGAGGCCAAACGCACACGGTGTTTTGGGATGAGGACGGATGTCTGTCAGAGCCTTCCTTAAACTTGCCAAACGTTTTCATCTGTGACCCAATTCACTCAGCTTTGTAAGAACCCAGTATATTAACTCTCTAGTTACCCTTCGTTTGTTATCTGCATCGAGAAATCAGACAATTCAGCTGTCTTTTAATCAACTCGTTTGCTGCATCCTAGATCGTGTTGTTTACTGCAACGGATAAAAGCTCTAGGGAGAGCTTTTGCTAACATATTCAGCAATGAAATAGGTCATGCTGAATAGAAAAAGCAAAAGCTGACCCACACGTAGGAATTAATTTCCCCCCCCCCTTTTTTCCCTCTCCCCTAATCCTAAACCTGAAATAACGGTCGTCTTTGGGGAAGATGACTTAGCGCGGGGTCGAGGTGCCTGCGTCCCAGCCGGGGGGACCCGGCCTGCTGGGCCGCCCCACACGCTCAGGCCCGGCCAGGCAGTCACGTCTGTCGGGGACAGGCTGCCCTACCCCAGATTTTTTGGGTGTTTTCCCACCGAAAAGATGGGCTCTGGGCTTCCTGGCCTTTCTCAGCAGCTATACGGGCATGA